GCATGTCAAGTATCCTTTGGCAAGATACTAATCCCTCTGGAATGGATGCATCTCCAATGCATCCATTCCAGAGTGTGAATGTACTTAGAAAGCACTATGTATAGAGAAAGTGCTTGTGAGAATGGGTGTGAATGTGGCATGTTGTCTAGCTTTGAGTACTCCGAGAGAGTAGAAAAGCACTATATACGAACCAGTCCAACTCCACCTGGGTGTCTATTGTCTTGTGTAGTCTGGAAGAGGATTGGATGATGGGGTTGGTGCAGTTTTCTCTGCGGTGGAGTCGGGTGGGCTGTCCCGGACTCTGTGGAGGGGGTGGTGCTGCTGCTGCGGGCCCCGGTCCGGATGGGCCTGGGCCCCCTTGCCCTGGTGGGTTCCGGAGTGTGGGGGTGCCTACTGGGGTCAGTGGGGGAGCTGGCCCCAGGGAGGGGCCTCTTGCCCCTCCCTCTCTTCCCTCCCCATCCTCAGCTGCCTCCCTATTCCCACTCCTCCACACCCACCCACACACGCAGGGCTTGGGGTGCAGGTATGTCACCAGGGTGCAGGGGAGGCACTCCCCCTCTGTCCCCTTCTGGCCGCCTGTGCCTCAATTTTATTCTGCAACCTAGACATCCACATTACTCACATTACTCACACTCTCACATAACACATACATATAGGGGCTTGGGGGTGGGCACGTCATACAGCGTCCAGAGGATGTTCTGTGTATTCAAACCCACCTCTGGCGCTGGTGCCCTACCCTCAACGTTAAATGCATTTAGACACTGAGGGTTTTTCTGGAGGAGCTGTGCTGCTCTCTGAGAGGATGCTAGTACCATGTTCTCCTGAGTTTTAAATGCACTTTAGAACAGCACACAGCAACACTACATATGAGCGGGCGTAGGGAGGTTTGAGGTCTTCACTCACCCCGGTTCTGTTAGCTGTCAGGGCTGGGGGGCCCGGAGGAGGTGCTGGCCGTCAGACTGGGGACTGGGATGCGGGGCCTCCCTGCTACTGCAGATAAGGAGGCGGTCCGCTTTCCTCCACCCCAGAGAAAAGGGTTACATGTCCTGGGTCTGGGTACGGCTTTCCCTTCTGGGGGCGGGGGTACCTGGACCTGGGATATAGAGTATGTTTGGGGAGTGCGACTGTCTGTGCAGTGTCTATTTGTGTCTGTCTACACGTCGGGTGAGTGCTGAGTATTTGTTTGTGTATATGGGGGTGGGAATGCATGTTTGTGTCCGCGTGTGCCTGTTCGTCTGTGTCTATATGTCAGCTTGGGTCTTAGACTCCACCTCTCTGAGGTATGGAGACCTATCTCCCCTCACCACACTCCCTGCCGGTGGCTGATGCCCTCAGACGTTGGTGTGTCGGTGGTTCTTGGTGTCTGGGGCTGGGCGCTCATGTATGTACCGGCTCACTCCTGGTGGCCGATTGGCGGGGCGTGGCGCCTGTGGCCCAGCTGGGCCCCTTCTGGAGGGTGGGTGCCCTCAGGCCTCTGGGCCCGGTCCTCTCTAGTACAGCTGGTTGCCGGCAGAGCCCGCGGGCACGCTCACTGCAACCCCCTCTGGCCTCTGCTCCGTAGGCTGCTGGGTGACCTCTCGTTTGGGGCTCTACCTCAGCTCTTCCCAGGAGGGTGGCACGGTTCGCCCCCCTTGGTGGTCCTCCTCTGGGTCCTCGTACTCTGGGGCCTCTGGATGTCTGGGGCCTGGATCTCCTCCATACCTGCTTCATGACCCTGGGGACGGGGCTTGGCTCCCCACACTCCCTAGCAGATCGTTACATGGAGAAACCTTTGGAATACAAGCATGCTGATCCACACAGGTGTACACACGGGTACGTGTTCACAGACGCGGACTACACCTTTCTTGGCTGCTGCCTCAAAGCACATTGTGCGCTGTCTATCTTGCGTGCTGCACAATAGCGTTTAATATTTAGTACTCTACTGTTCTAGCTGCTAGTTTATTGTGATGGTGCTGTTTTTATTATGTTGCTCTTTGTTGTTTGTCTTTCTCCTTCTGTTTTTTTTCTCCATAATGAATGATGAACAGCTGTTTGTTTGTTTTTTTCTTTCTTCCCCCCCTTTCTCACCGTCTCTTCTCCCCTCTGTTTTTCTTTCTCTCCCTCTCTTTCTTTCATTCTTTCTCCCTGTCCTATCCCCCAGTCATGTCTGTCCCGCATCTTTCTTGGCCTTCAGACAACAATTCTGATGGCTAAAGATCCAAACGGGACAGGCAAAAAAACCAAACTCTATAACTGTAGGGTCTTTATCCTATTATATCAAGCACATTGTTGTGATTTGGTGCTACATAAATAAAATTGAACTGGAGTGAATTCAATGTTCTTCCAGTGTCTGCGTGAGTGCTCTTCAGGTACTTTGCTTCATCTCACAATCCAAAGTCATGCAGTTAATGGGATTATGTTAACTGGTTTTTCTAAATTGCCAATGGCTGTGCATGTGAGTGTGGATGTTGTGTGTCACTCTGTGTTAGCCCTACAACAGAGTGGCGACTTGTGATAGGCTGAAAGCCGACAGCTCGCTGATCCTGATGTGTCAGCGGGTCCGCGCTTTGTGTTTACGCCTGTATTTGCACCGATTCTAAAGCTGTTAGTTTGATCTCTCTCCAAACAATATTGACCGAACCAGCAGCAAAAGAAGATCCAACCCTTCACATAAACATCGTCATGAATTCACTCTGACTTTCACTGTTTTGCTTCGACCACGATGCACAGCTCCCTCTCTCTCTCTGTACTTCAAGAACAGTTTCCCTTTCTTCATTATTCGCTTGCTTGTTACGCACAAGTCTACCGTTGTTTACAGGCTGTCGGCCGCTGGGTTTTTTTTTCTGTTTACATACTTCTGAAAAGAAAACCTAATTTCTGCCGTTCAATACTGAACAAATTTAAACTTTTTAAAATTATACAAAATGCAAAACGCTCAGCCGTGTCTCTAATAAAACCGCTGTAACTTCAGAGGTAACTTTCATAAGTTAATTAATGGTTTTCTTTCGTTTTTGATGTACTGCAGAATATTTTTATAAAACCAGGCCAGGAAAATCACCTTCATGTTTTTCTGTGTTTTATCTTCAGCTACTTTGACCTACTTAGGCCTCGCTGTGACGCTCACACCTTTGATAAAGCCTTGCGTGTGTCAGCTTCCTTTTTATAGATACAAAAATATGTAAATTTACTGATCTGAATTATAATATTTCTGACTGTCAAAATTTCCCAGATTCAAATCGAGTCGAATTTAATCGAATCGTGGATCGAATCGATTCGGGACCTTGTCAATCAGAATCGAATCGATTCTAGAAATCAGTGACGATACCCAGCCCTACTTAACATGCACATATGGTATCATGCTCAACTTGTCCAATTCTCTGTAGTGATATGAGGAAAAGTAAAAAAAAAGAAACATCACTCTGCCATGATTCATGACAGTGCTTTATTCTGTGCCCATTAAAAAAGCAGCAAGAGAAAAGAGTCTTCCAAAATGTCTGCAAGTCTGCCAGAATGAACACTGCAGATTATGAAGCTGATCATGACTTTATTTATTCGCCTTAAAGTGAATTTTCAGTATGAGTGGGCTGCAAACACGCTGATACCTAATCTCAAGGTGTGTGTGAAGCAAAAGCGTGATCCAAATATAAACAGCAAGAAAATCCTTTCATCAAACCCAGCACTGCTGCAGCAGCTGGGCGGATTTGACTTGTTTTATTAACCTCCACTTGATCTTTTTGACTCACATGTTAATCATTCAAACTCTAGGTTAGCAAGAGTTTATGTTCTGTCTATCCTTAGAATATTAAGTATTTATACAGAGTATGTATTATAGGTTACCTGACGTGTATGCATGCCACCATACTGTCCTTTATTGTGTCACAAACATACAATAAATGCATCTCATTAGGGGTTGGAGGTCATTTTGCTGCACTAGATTGGATCCACCTATATTTCTTTCAATTAAATCATGACAGTCTTATTTTAAGTGATCACCTTTACCCTATGATCAAACATTTCTGTCCTTATAGGAGGAGTCATCCATTGCCCATTAGGGCTCACGGAGGTGTTTGCAAGTAATAAAAATGATTTGAATCACACGTTATGTCTTCACAGTCACAGGATCTGATGGTGATTCATGGCTACAGTGAAAATTTTAAATGAAAATAAAAATAAAAAAAACTACAGAAGTAATTAAATGACTATTTGAATCCACTACAGTCATGAAAACACGTGGAGCTGGTTTCTTGAGAAACAAAAAACACTTTACGATGCTTTTTGCCACTTCACTCACAGTACAATTAAACCAGTTATGACAATAAGAGGGTAGCGAAATGGGAATATGAATTTGGTTTCTTCCATATAGTGCTTTAAAGAAAGTACATTTCAAATAAATCTGATCCCAAAAGAATGGTAGATTAGCTTGGGTAAAAGACCGAAAGTTGAGGCACACAACGATGTGTGCTGCTGGTAAAGTTTCTGGGCTGCCTTTACTCGTAACAGCCATCCCTCAAGATTCTTTCCATTTATTGGAGATTATGTTTCGGAATTTCAGGAGTGGGACCACGCCTCCAAACAAGCTTCCAGCTGTCATCTACAGAGGTTCCCCCAGTTCTGCAAGCTGATCATTCTCGTTTACGTGCCCCACCCTCCCTCCCTCCTTGGTCTCCATTTTTTAACTTCTTCACTTCTATTTAGTGCACGGGGATCTGCCAGGCCCGGGAGCCGTCGCCAGTCCCCTTCGAGGCCTTCCCAAAACAGCAGCTCAATTCATGTCAAAACATCACCTTTACCTACTAAAACGCTGTCAAACCTAAAATGAGGACGTGGGCCCAGCTAGTGAAAAGCAATGCAATATCAGGGACTATAACATCTAATCCTTTTACTGAATCTGATGTTTTTGGCTTCTTTAATTATTTGTCTGTTTGTCTTGTGTTATTTTACACGTATTCAGAAGAGTTTGATACTACTGATTCTATAGAGGCATTAAATAGAAAGAGCAGTGAAGGAAAAGAAGCACTTACCCTGTTTTAGCAAAGTTCGTCCAGTAGGTCATGACAACAGCACTTAACATCACGTCATTCTTGGAGAAATTGCAGTTGAAGAGATCCGTTGGGCCGATCATGGGGATTCCAAATACGTATGGGACTTCATCTCCATGAGCTGAGTCAGCCCAGCTGGGCTTCATGTCACTCTGACAGTGGTGATAGAAAGCATAGAAATATGTGGGCGAACCATACTGAGCATGGAGGTCAGCTGTGGCCACAGCTGGTGCCACCCACTGATGGTCAGTAAACAGAGCCACCAGGGTTTTGCGGCGAGTTTCTGGGTTCTCCTTGTCAGCCCAGTCAGTGTACATGAATTTGATGGTCTCACGGAGAGTGTCTTTGCCCTCAGGGTAGCCATACAGATGGTCAACAAAGTCAGAAACAGCAAAGTCAAAATCATTGGCAGACACGCCATCCTCACTGTCCACAATGCCATCAACAAATTTGAACCCCTCACCCTGATTGACCCCCAGCATAATGTCATAGTTCAGGAACTCCCCTTGCTCCATGAGAATCTGGGGGTCATCGGGGATCACATCACCATCGATCACTGGCCCGAAGGCAATGTGGTACTTAGCGGGTGTGATGTACTGCTCAATTAGTTCCTTGTAGTTCTTCTTCTGCAGACACTCCACCAGGTCGATGGTGTCCAGCATGTTGCAGCCCACCTTCTCAGCCAGGGCTCTTGTATATTTGGCAGGCTGGTAGTTGACTGCCCAGCTGGACAGAGCAGTGCCGCTCTGGATGATGGCTTTCTGGAACAGATCTGAGATTGGAATTCGTGTTAGTAATATACACACTTCACTGTATTCATGCTTTATGGTTTAAATTGGTATTGCAAAATCGGCAGTACTTTTCTCTTTCAAAACAGATTTTAATGGCACTCCAATCTATTTAACTGTTTGTCTGGTTACAGTGATTACTGAGTACATGCCCTTTTACCATTTAATTGAATTCAGAATCGCTGAAAAATTCTGTGAAAGTTATTTTCAGATTCACTGTCACACATTGTTAAAAACTGGTGCAGCAGTTTATTGAACATGGAAATACAACATATGAAACAAAAACTGAGTTTTCAAGTTCAAACAAGCTAGAAAGTCAGTATTTGGTATGACCACCTTTAACAAAGCCTCAACTCTCTTAGGCAACCTTTCACCTTGATAAAGCAAATGTTTTGCCACTTGTTTGTTAACAAGCAAGACAAGCACAGTTATGATCTTGGAGAACTAATTCTCAAGCAATTTGATGTACATTATTCTATTGTAAGACTATAGTAATTGACCCTCTACGGCTCCTCTTCTTTCTTGGGTTTTGCTGCTTGAGGTATTCACTAAGCAAATGACGAGTTTTGGTCATCTTCCTGATGTACTCATGGGTCTTTGTTGTTTTATCCTGACACTCACTAGTCCTTGGCCACCTTCCGCTTAGCTTACGGTCTCAGGGTGCAGGACTTATGATCCCAGCAGGGTGTAAGCATTGATTGCCCAGATCTTGTTATTCCCATTCAGCTCACTCCTCAGGACTTGTTTACTCTCTGAAGGAATTAAGTGTTTACAGCTTTCCTAGTGGGCTCTTCATCATTCCCATTTGCCTGTGGGATTCCAAGGTACTTGTAGCTGTTTTCAATATCTCCAATGTTGCCTTCTGGTAGTGCAATCCCCTCAGTTCTGACTACCTTCCCTCTTTGTCCGAATGACGTTCCAATGTCTTTGCTGGAGTTCCGAGTCATGTGGATCAGTGAACTGATATCTTGTTCACTCCTGGCATACAGCTTGTAGCATGCCAGTAGTATGTAATATCTGTAGCCAGTCTTATTAACGATCTGGCTGAGAGTGTTCAGGCCTATGCAGAACAGCCGTGGGGACAGGTTAATACTTGGGAAATCCCACACTTAATGGCGTTTGCTACATACCCATAAAATTCCTGACATATGCGATTTGGATCTTGTTGAATTTGTACTGTTTTAGGCATTTCTGGATCCATGTCTGATGCAGTGTTGCAGCTTTTCTTATAGTCAATACAGGCGGTGCACAGGTCGGTTAGTCTGGTCTTACAGACTCGAGAGACTGCTCTATCTACACGGAGTTGGTGTTTTGCCCCTCTGGTGTTTCTGCCAGTTCCTTTCTGGGCCCTGCTGATGTATTGAGCCTGTTCATCTTAGCCGCTATGATGCCTTTCAGGAGCATCCATGTTAAGCTGAGGCAGGGTAATGGCTGGTAGTTGGATGGGACCAGTCTGGGGATCCTTGAGGATCAGGACTGTCCGGCCTTCAGTTAGCCATTATGGAGGCATCTCCTCCATTAGTAGCTGATTCATTTGTGCTGCCAGATCTGCTCATGTATTAGTTTCTTTTCGGTTAGCCAGTCCTCCAACACTTCAACACTTACAGAAAACATTTCTATCCATCTACCCTACATGTAAAAAATAAAAATAACAACATGTACTAAGTGGGTACAAAGTGTGATAAAATGTGTTGTCAAAGAGGTCATGACTACACATTAGTACATGATGATGTGATGTGGGTAAGACTTCTCAAATAACACTGGGCATGCAGACCAGTATAACAGAATTCTAAGAAGCCATGTCTCCATTATTTCCAGCACACATTTCATAGCAAATAATAGAATAATTCATAATATTTAATTTACGTCTTTCTGTCTCTAACGAATGAATGAATGATAAACTGGCATATAGAAGATATTTGCTGTTACTATACTTCAGGCTGGTTCCACATTCTGGAACATTGTTAGCATGACTTCTCGAGCTGCCAGTCAGTAAGTGGGCCACAGTGCGGTAGGAACACTGAAGCCATGGGTTCTATTTATATTCATGCAAACACAGTGGTGACTCAGCCGGGCTCAGTTAAAAGTATGTTATTCGGACAGAGCAGATGTTTCCCATAAAGCCTGGTTAGTCGTGTACAAGCTTTCACCACTGTCACTGTTAGTTAGATGTTCACTCTAAAACTATACACACTGAAAGAGTGAGAGTGTTATCAGCTTCTGGTGTGCTGCTAATGCAAATGTTGAAGCTACATAAATCTTTATGGCAGCTTTACAACAGAGATCCAACTGAGGCAACAAGTGACAATACCTTCCTTTGTGAAGTCTGAAAAAATGAAGGTTGCCTACAAGAGTGTATGGGCACCACGACTGCTGCAGCAATTGAACACAAGGGATTTTATATGTGTATATCAAGCCATTCATGTTTCTTCAAGTACAAGATAAGGAAAATGAAACGCCAAAATAGCCATGACATAAAGAAATAAAAAATCTTCCCTCGCATATTTGGTAAAGCGACCAAGAGACTTTTACCAGCAAGATAAAAATATACATTTTGTGCAGAGTTTTGTTTTTCACAAAGTTTTCATATCACAAAGAGAGGACAGCTGAAGGGGAACTGCGAGAACATTTTCCAAATCTTCCAAATCCTGTTTTTTGCTTGTTTGTTTGTTTTTACTAGAAGAATTATCTTTTGTGTTTTTTAATTAAAATTTTCCATATTATTGTCTGTAAACAAAGATGTAAATACAGTCTTTTTCTCATTCATACCTCATGCTCCAGTGTAAATGACTACAGACTGCATTTCAGTATCAAATATGATAAACAACCCAAGGAACGTGCATGTTTGTCATACGTATGAAGTGTTCTCTGTATTAGAAATAATCTAAGAGACAAAGAGCAAACACTCCATCTTCATACAGGAATATTTTTTGTTTGAAAAAGCTAAAAGTACACACTGTGAACAGACGGGGCGATGGATATACAAACTGAAGCGCTTCCTCCAGCTGAGCAGAGCTTAGGTTTATATTGAGGTTATGTTCTCTTTTCTGTGGTTTTGTTTCTTTGTTTACAAAAATTGCCCATCGACCTCTAGTTGCTGTGCACAATTACGTCAATTAAGTGTTTGATTTGCTAGAACTGAATATGAACGAATCCAGTCTATGTTTGAGAAAAATCTGATTACCTAGGTATACATATATCCACTCAAGGACAAATAAATACTTCAAAATAGTGTTGCCATTGTTAACTATTGCACATGCCCCTTGCCACAGATGTATGTAAATGCCAAGCAAGAGGAAACAGATGCAGGAGCTACTTGTTTGCATCCTTAATATCAAGGGTAAGTGAGGGATAGGTCTAAATAACTGCATGAATCAATTTAATACTGTAGGAGCTCATTTTAATTTTAACTAAACAAGAGGAAACAGATGTCTTTTTGCTACATTGTTTCCTCTACTATGAAATGTGTTATTATTTCAGGTCTGCTTTAAAAAAAAACTTCCACGCTTCATGATTCACTGTGGGTTTGTTTTTGATGTGAAATCCACACTGCATCAAAATAACAGCAGGAATTATAAACTGATGACAAGACCCCTGCTTTTGACCATATATTACTGTGGTTGTGCCTTGATCCGTGAAAAAGAACATGTACCTTCTGAGTAATGTGAGAGGGTTAGCAGGCTGACACACGATGCTCCTGCACCAGAGCCAAAAATGGTCACTCGCTTTGGGTCTCCTTTGAAGGCCTGGATGTTTTCTTTGATCCACCTGAGAGCCTGAATTTGATCCAGCAGTCCATAGTTGCCCTTGGCTGCCTGGTCTCCTGTGCTTAGAAACCCTGTATTGGTGAAAACACACAAGAGAAAAGAGATCTATTCTTTACTTCCAAAAGGCACTGATTTAATGGGAGTATTCAAATTACAAGTAATTTTTTAATCTCTGAAATGCCTAGTACACTTTTTTTAATCTGGAGGCAAGTTAAACTGGTGAAATAGTGTTATATTTCTCATCTGAATCAATGTGACCTTGAGTATATTATGAAAACAGAAGATTGTGCTTCTCTGTATAATTATTTCAAAGCTGCACTTAGCTTCTTTTTAAAATCTTCTGAAACCATCTAGAGGTACTAGTGTGTACAATGCTGTAGAATATAGCTTAAACACACTTGAAGAAGTACCTACTATCTATTAAACTTAAAATACTACCTATCATCCTCGTTTCTACAAGCACAAAGCAAAAGAACCAACCAAAAGCCCACAAATTTCCTTTAAATGTGCCTCTAAACTGTTATGCACAGAGTGTATGTGCACGCAACTGTCTGGTAAATGCTACCTCCTTCTGGTGACTTTTTTAAAAATAGGAATCTTATATATTAAAGTTTCAAAGGGAACGTGTGCTAAATTCCAGCTCTGTGTTATTATTTTCAGTCTGTGTTGTTTCCTGTTTTATTTTGAAGGTCCTTGTCTGATGTTATGTATCTGGTTTTGCTTCCCCTGTTCCTTTAGGCCTGATCTGCACACAGCCGTCACATAACAGTGAGGTGATTTGAGCTATGCGACAGACACAATAACAAATCTCCTGCTGGAAACAGTGATTAGAAGATGGGGGCACTGGTGATAAGTGGATGGACATGGTCAACAACGATACTGAGGTAGGTTGTTGTGTTTTGACAACCCTGCTGGTTCTAAAGTGTGTCAAGAAAATATCCCTGTTGCACCAGCCTAGGGGGAGCCGGAGTGCAACACAAGGAAAACAAGAAAAAGAAAGCAAAGAAGTAAAACACACAGCCACTATTTGTTTTATTAATTCAACAGGTAGCGAGCATCAGGGTGGGCATGGACAAAACAACAAACAAAACACACTAGAAATGAAACAGAACTAACTTCCCTACAGTGAGAAAACCCTAAAAGAAAATACAAGCCTCTTACCTGTCTCCCTAACCGAAACACGAGAAAAAGGTTCTAAAAAGAAGCGGCTTCCCGCCCCTACAGCTACCATGTCCAGATAGAGGTCTTTCTAAACTATTTCCACTGCAGCCTAGCTCTTCTCATCTCAGGAAACTCAGTCACACAGAACACAGGGCCGAACGCGCGGCTCGCTACAAACAGGAAGTAGGAGAGGCTGCCGGCCCAGTCAGGTCCCAATTTGTACCCGGCCTCATTCCATCTTCCACCACTGGTCGGCCTCCACCTGGAAACTTACATAACACAAACATCACAGAGTGCAGAGGGTTTTTTTCTTTGTTCAATGCATCATTAAGTCCTTGCAAAAATGACACAAAGACAAAAAAATCACTGGAGAGCGTCTTTGAAAATGGAGAGAAAGCCAAAGATGTGACACCAGAAGAATCGGAGAGCGCCAACAAAAAGAAAGCTGCATTTAAAAGAAAATTTCAAGGATCATTATATTTGCATTACATCACCCAAACACACACACAGACAGTTTGTCCAACGTGAAACTGGTCCATGATGAAAAAGGGTTGGGGACCGCTGCCTTAAATCACCTTTTTTCCCACTGCCATGTCATTGTACCTCGTAAACAGGTATAAATCAATCAAATGGCCAGTGATACAGCACAGTAGATGTCATGGAATGACTTTATGTGATGACCAAATTGATTTGAAGAACCACAAACATGCCTTGGCATGGAAATGTGCCATTTCTTACACCAAATTTCAATTTTATTCAATTCATTATCATTCTAGCATTAAAGTATTATCTGAATAATATCTGAATTCATCTCTATTAATATGCAGAATGATAAAAAAATAATTGTTATCGTTTACAAGCCACTCACTGTCAAGTACTGAAAGTGCTTTGAATTTGATTTTGCCCATGCCTACACAAACGGTTGGCCAGCAGACATCCATTTCAGTCAAGTGCCAGACCGAGCAGCTTGGCAGAAGCTTCCACATCCAAAACTTGTTGACAAATTAGCAAATGTGCCTAAACCCATTAAGAGGGTTTCTAAATGCTGACACTGGGGGAACTGGTGGAGCGTTCTTGCCAGGCCTGGGAGCTCGGCAGCCAAGCCGGGCAGCAACAGCCGGGCAGCAACAGCCGGGCAGCAACAGCCAGTCCCTGTGAGTTAACCAAGAGTGAGGCAGGGTAAATGACAAATGGGATGAGGGCGGCTGGGTAAGAAAGGGGAAAGAAAGACAAGAGGTAGCCTTTGGCTTTTTCATAGAGAGCCGATCCTGTTTGTCATGGTGAAGTGGAAAGGATGAGAGAGATGGGATGGAGGGCAGGGTAAGGGGAGATTACAAGGCCTCTGGCAGCCTCGTACACCCTGTAGGATGACCACGGGTCCTGGCACTGCTCCCCTTCCTTTTTCCCTTCTCCCTTCAGTCTTTCATTCCTGTTCTTTTCCCCGTTTCTCTCTCCCCTCACATATCTCACCACAAAGAAGCCAAAGAGAGAGGCACGCCTATCAGGCAGTCTTCAGGATGTGTGAAGATTAGTCAGTGCTTCATTTCAAAGCACTATGTCCTCAAAATAGACTGCATGCATAACTAAGCCTACAGCCTAGAGATGCATCATTGACAACATTTTAGAAGCACAGGCTTAAAGAAAAAAATAAATCTACATGTCAATTTGAAACATCGTTTAGACAAAACTTTTTGGGGTAAATTAGCACTTTACGTGTAGCACTGCATAACGTAAAGTTAAACAAGCTGGAGTTTCATTTTAATGATGACGCTAATTTCAAATAGACAAAAGGGACTCAAAGTTTGTTTGTTTTTTAAAGAAAAATATCAAAAGCTGAAAAATGTGGTTCATTAACACATTTTCCTTGTATCTGAGTCTCACCCAGTCCTCATTAGTAGTCCTACAATTCATCAGTCTCACCTGTTAAAGGTAGTTCCCCTACTGATTGTGGCACTTGTCATTTCTGGAATGATTTTAGTAGCCTGGACAGCAGGCACCAAGGAAAGATTCATTTAGTGCCACTAGGTAATGGACGGGTTTTTGTACAGTGCTCTTCTGAGCACCCATAGTGCTTTACACAACCCTAACTTTATTCTATACTCTAAGTAAGTGCTTCCATCCCACAGACATTCAGACAACGTGGGGTTAGTATCTTGGCCAAAGATATTTGGCATGCAGACTGGAGCAGACAAGGATCGACTGGTAGGCTCTACCACCTGAACTACAGCCACCAGGGGAAACCTGTAAGAGCTATTTGCACGAATAAAGAATAATCCTCAGACTTTTACCTTTACTGCTCCATAAAAGGTTAAAAGTGAATGTCCACAATTTAGAATTTTATTCAAGCAATATAGCAGGAGCAAAGCAAAAGCAAAATGAAGTAGTAGTTATCCTAAACCAAAAATCAAATCACTTCAACTGTACCTAACTAACCTGCTCTGAGCCAATCTGATTTTGTTCTTATTTTGGTGGAGAGAGGTTTATCCCCTTGTTCTGAGTTGATGATAATCAGCCAACAGGAAAGGAGAATCCCCTGGGCATTCAGTGGAAGTATGACGTAAATCAAAATCCTCTTCTGAGCTGCTCGTCTCGCAGAAGACAAAAGGGAAGAACCCTGAGTCTCTGTCATACTTTTTATGACCAGTGCCTGCAGTGCTTGGAAAAAGAATTAACATAAATTCCTGATTTTGAAATGTGTTTTATTTTGATGCCAAAGGGAAATAGGATCAGAACAACATGACATGAACATTTTTGGTATTTTGTTAGTAAAATAAGTCCATAATTTATTCTGGTGATGAGTCATTTTGGAAACCAAGTTGCTAATTGACATTATCAATATTGGTGTAGGGAAACCAAGGTCTTGGAGCAAGTTACACTAATGCACGCTAATGGAATATGAGCACAGTCACTCCAAACTTACTTCATCCACATAGAAAATCTGAGGTGAGATAAAAAATGGATTTTTACTAGAAAATAGCATCAGATGACATACAGAGTGAGTGACACATATGAAAGTGAAACTGGCACTACAGCTCTGTGGACAGACGGTGACCCGGCAGAATGCCAAGTGCTGAAGCTTTGGGCACAAACTGTTCACAGGCCACAGAGCGTATGAGTCACTGTGTTTAATTTAATAACATTCACTTACACTCATACTGGAAATGACAAGTATTTCTTTATCTCATTGAAACTTAAATGTATAAGTTACATTTATGTTAAAAAACAAACTAGAATTACCAACAGGATGTGAATAAACAGCCACAATCTCAGACACATGTCAGACATAATATATGTTGCAACAAACATGTCAATATGTAAAGCCATTAGCAACATTGCAAATCTCACCTCATTTAAACTTCACCAGTTGATGTATGATGACATATAGCACAGCTGTCTAACACCAGGACCAAAGAAAATAATAGCTTGTTTCTATTAAAACTCTCTGACGACTCGTTCCAACCCATATTTCCTGATGAAGCCTTTTATGAAATGCAATGGAGAGTTTTTGGTTACACGTGACCATAGAGGGCATTTTAAACTGTATTTGAAAAGAGAGTGCCTTCCAAAGATCACCTCAAACAAGGATAATGTGAATCTAAGAACCGCTCTTTCTTAAAACCTGTTGAGGACCATACCTGAGGTTGGTATATAGATGCATATTTAAAAAAATGAATTAATAATCTATATAAAACAAGCAAATGATCTGCACAGGTGTCACCTTTTGTCTTTGGTAGTACAAAGAACAACAATAAATGTGAGCGTCGTGCTGTGACCATTATCGCAGCAGACAGCGGCTGCATGAACAGCTGGTTAACATGCAGCCACTATCATATTTCCAACACCCGGCTAAGAAGCACCTGAAATCCTGTTTAATTTCACCTCCTGACATTTTTCATCATCACAGTTTTCA